TGTCCTAGTCAGCTGCCCAGTTGGCCCGCAGGATGAACGCAGGATTGTCTATGAGGGTTCCTGTGAGTGAGAATGCGGCAGGATAAGACATCCATGGTGGCAGATAAACTGATAGCATGGCGTCAGAGTGTGTTGAGTCCATGATAACTGCTCATTAGGCTCAGCAAATGAAAGGCCTCACCATCGGCAGCCTACCTGACAGCAATTAAGGAAGTTTTGGTGTATGGCAGCCTGTGTCTCAGCAGTCATCAAACAGCCTGATTGTTTGGAGTATGATTTAAACGATAATTGCAGTTGATTTGCTGCAAGGGAGACGCTCACGATGCTGTAACATCCGAGCAATCTAAGATTAAAGCAGAGGGGAGGAAGATCATGTAATTGCTCAAATTTGTTGTAACACAGTTTCAGCTTCCAGTTAACTATGAATTTCTCAGGTTGTAGAAGGTAGAAGATGATGGGGCTTCAGAGGTGTATGTCCATGTCGCACATCCTAGGACCCAATGTTTTTCTGAGAGGCGCAAGCGTGATGCAAGGTCTGTGCACGTGCAGATATGACGTGGGGGATTCCCTTGCATGTACACAAATGATGTACTGTAGGTGTCTACAAGGTCCAAGATACCAGAAACCAGCGGCATGTGTGTGCATGCAGGGGAATCCCCTGTGTATCTTATAGGGGAAGTCCCAAATACCTGACAAAAACATAAGGCACGGAAAAGCACGATCAAGATATTTCAAGATGGCGGCTCAAAAGAGGAGTGGCAGGAAAGGAATTTTTCCAGGGTGACGTTAATAGGCAGGTGCAGTTAGCCCTCCCACCAGTAGGTGGCTTCACGCCATTATTGCATGGGAAGGGGAATCTTGTAGAGCACAGGTGTCAAACTGCCGACCCACCAGCTGTTGCCAAACTACAAGTCCCATGAGATTGACAGTTACAAGCATGACTTCCAAAGGCAGAGGCATGATGGGACTTATAGTTTTGAAACAGATGGAGGATAGCCAGATTGACACCCTTGTTGTATAGGAATTGGTCTCTTAAAGATAGTCCTCCCACCAGTAGGTGGCTTCACGCCATTATTGCATGGGAAAGGGAATCTTGTAGAGCACAGGTGTCAAACTGCCGGCCCACCTTCAGCTGTTGCCAAACTACAAGTCCCATGAGATTGACAGTTACAAGCATGGGAAGGGGAATCTTCCAAAGGCAGACGCTGTTATTGCATGGGAAGGGGAATTATAGAAGAATTGGTCTCTAAAGATAGCCTCCCACCAGTAGGTGTCTTCATGTTATTGCATGGGAAGGGGAATCTTGTAGAAGAATTGGTCTCTTAAAGATAGCCACCATAGGTGACACCCTTGTTGTATAGGAATTTTGTAGAGGAATTGGTCTCTTAAAGATATTCCTCCCACCAGTAGGTGGCTTCATGCCATTATTGCATGGGAAGGGGAATCTTGTAGAAAAATTGGTTTCTTAAAGATAGCCTCCCACCAGTAGGTGTCTTCACGATGTTATTGCATGGGAATCTTGTAGAAGAATTGGTCTCTTAAAGATAGCCTCCCACCAGTAGGTGTCTTCACGCTGTTATTGCATGGGAAGGGGAATCTTGTAGAAGAATTGGTCTCTTAAAGATAGCCTCCCACCAGTAGGTGTCTTCACGCTGTTATTGCATGAGAAGGGGAATTTTGTAGAGGAATTGGTCTCTTAAAGATAGCCCTCCCACCAGTAGGTGTCTTCATGCCATTACTGCATAGGAAGGGGAATCTTTTAGAAGAATTGGTCTCTTAGAGATTCCATACACGGCCTTCACAGATGAAGGTAGTCTGAGTGGACCAAACTAGAGAAAAAAGAGGGTTTTTTAAAGGTGGCCCATTGGTATAGTTATATAGCAACCAAAAGAACTCTCAAATGTTAAAATCCACATATAATATTTTATTACACATATCTTAAAAATACAGATCTCCTTATGAACAAATCATCTGTAGGATATATTGAACAAAATGTAGAATTAAGCATCAGTTTATGATGCGTTTCATGGACGATACCGCTTCTTCAGAACACAATGCTAATATGTGACATGTATCCATTACTTATAAACCAACATGAAGCAGTCCAAAACGCAGTCGCATCCGTCCAAGATGAAGGGAGGTATGCAAAGTGGGACCATTAATGGGGGATGTGTAAACCAAGTCTCAAGATTTTCTAAACTGCAATATATATAGCTGACAACCATCAAAATCCACCAATAAACGCTACCAAAAATAGATTTAAATTGATGGAATTGCTTAAGTGACAAGCTGTAGAGGACAGCCTGCCCATTCCAAAACCACCCTTGCGTTATTGGGTCCCCTCATACAGCAATAACTGGAACAACAGAGGTCCTATTGGTCATATAGATAGCCAGTAGGTCTACCAGTAAACTTGGAATAATCCCATCAATCAAGTCCCGCACATAATTTGCTGCTAAGAGGAAAGTGGCTGAGTCTTAGTGGACACCAAACTCTTGAGAGACTTTGGCAGCCATCTTGGGTGAGGGAACATTTTAAATAAGGGACCCCATGTTATTTTGGAATGTTTCTGGCAAGTGTGTGGTAGGGAGAGGAACCCACTTGTGAGGGACAGTGCTTAGTACAGGGTCCAGACGAAGAGGGATAAACTCTGGGAAGGCTCCTTCTTCACTTTATAAACTGCAGTAAGTGAAAACACAACCAATGCCACTGAATAGGGACCACGATGCAACTGTTCTGCAACTGCCGTGTATACAGTTGCGGCACAGTGATTTGGCCTTTTCAGGATTAAAAGAGGAGGCATGAATTAATACATAGATAGATAGATAATTATATAAATACATCTATTATCTATCTATCTATCTATCTATCTATCTATCTATCTATCTATCTATTTATCTATAGAATCCAAGATGATTGTAATTGTTGGTAAATAGGTCAATGTCCTGTTATGGTAGACACCCTTGACAGGTGACGTGGGCTCACTCATATCTAAGTGACAGTTTGGTCTTCACCAGAGCACCCTGCAAGGAATGATGGTCACCCTAGTGGCCTTCTAGGCTACTTTGCTGTAAGCGATCACCAGGTCATGGCCTTTGGGATGCCCTACCAAGGGGACCTAGGAAGGGAATTGGAATACAAAGGGTTGGAGGTTGGGGCAGGTGGCAAGTGAGGGCTTAGTTGCTGTCCACAAGGCCTGGGCAAGGGGTGGGCAGGAGGTGCGACTGCCCTGGGCACTGTGTTATCAGTGGGGGGGGGGGGGGGCACCACAAGGAGATTGGGGGGGGGATTTTTTGTTGGGAGGGAGAATTTGGGGGATGGCAGGAAGTAGGAATTGTTCTAGAAATTTGGAGAGGTGTGCTAGGAAAGGTGATTTGGAGGGATTTGTGCTGGGAGGGGTGATGAGAGAAAAGGATTTGTTCTAGGGGGGGGGGGGATTTGTGCTACAAAAGGTGATATGGTGGGGGGGGCAAGGTATTTCTCCCAGGAGGGGAAATTGTTTTTATGGGGATTTGACCTAGTAGGGATGATTGGGGGGCATTTGTGGTAAAAGGGGAATTTTTGGGGGGACATTTGTGCTAGGAGGGAGAAATTTGAGGTGTAAAGGACTTGTGCTAGGAGGGGGAATTTTTTTTTTTTGGGGGGGGGCAGTTTGAGCTGGGAGGATATGGGGAGACAAAGTATTTGAGCTAGGGGGGATATGGGGGTAAAGATTTGTGCTGGGAGGGGGGATTTCAGTGGGGTGGGAGGATTTGTACTGGGAGGAGGGGGAAACTATATTTGGGGGGGCTAAGGGATTTTTGCTGACACATAATGCTTATACATCTTGGGGGGGGGGCACGCAATTCGGCATGTTTGCCCTGGGCTCTGGATGACCTTGTCCCAGCACTGGGTCTCCAGGCAAAGGGTTCAGGCAGGTGGCAAGCAGAGGGAGTGGTTGGTGTCCAAGCTGAGGTTAGGGCACGTGAAGGCAAGAGAATGTTCGATATCCAGGGTAAAGTCAGGGCAGGTGGCAGGCACAGGGGCAGACTGACAACTCATGGGGCCCCTGGGCAATAGGGGATCATGGGGCCCCTGTGTCTTTGCCCAACCCAAAAAAGCCTATGAAAAAGACAATGAAAGGTACCAGGGGCATCTCATGAGGCCCCCTACTGACCCCGGGCCCACGGCCAGTGCCCGGGTGCTTGAATGGTCAGTCCGCCCCTGGGCAGGCAAGAGGGTTTTCAGTATCCAGACAAGGCTGGAGGTAAGCAAGAGAATGGTTGGTATTCAAGCTGAGATCAGGGCAAACATCAAGCAAAAGAATGGTCTGCATCCAGGCTGAGACCCAAGCAGGAGGTAGGCAAGATACTGGCCTAGTATCCGTACTGAGGTCAGGTGACAGCTGGAGACGGGCAATAGATTTGGGTTGAGTTCAAGGTAGGCAACAGAATGGTCAGTTACAGGTAGTGTTGTCATTGAAGCAGGAGACAATAGCAGGGTTAGGCAATCTGGGTTTGTACAGGCAAATGGAGAACAACAGGAACTAGCACTAGTGGTAGCAGGCAAATAGACACATCATCAACCACCATAAAAGGATCATATACAGCAGCCAATATGTTTGGGGGGGGGGGGGGCAAACACACTCCCACGTCTTCATGGCTCAGAAATCTTGACTGGAATTAGATGGATGAAAATAAGCAAATGTATCCGTAATATTCTGCTTGTAAAGCCTTCAAGTTATGAAAGCGTTAAACGTTACAGGAAATGATCATATAATGAGCATATACAACAGTTCAGGATGAACCAACGGTCCATTCGGCCTCAAGTTGGCTGGAAAATGTACACCCAGCGGCCGCTTTATTAGGTGCACCTGTTCAATTGCTTAGTAACACAAATTGCTAATCAGCCAATCACATGGCAGCAACTCAATGCATTTAGGCATGTAGGTGTCGGGAAGACGACTTGCTGAATTTAAAACCGAGCATCAGAATGGGGAAGAAAGGGGATTTAAAGCGTTACTAAACCCACAACAGTAAAATCAGTCTGTATATGCAGTAAAGCACGCTTGATATACTCACTGTGGAACCTAAGGGGTTAACCCTCTGCATTGTGTAGAAAGGTTGTTTGATCCTGACTTCTCTGATCCTCCCCTTCTTCCAGTGCCCCCCTCTTATCTCCTGATAAAACATATCATGTGGAGGCACTCTGCACATGCTCAGTTTGGTGGGTATTGCTAGAGAGGTTTTTTTTTTTTCTTGGCAGAGTGCATGTGTTCAGCACCAGGCCAATCACCACTGTCCAGACAGCGGTCAGGGTTCTGCATCCTCCTAGAGCAAAAAGAAAACTCCTCCTACAAGCTTCAACCAGTGCTCTGCTGGACACTGATAGAAGTCACAAGACTGCCCTAACTACTGATAGGAAAAGGTACTGTATTTAGTAGTTTATATTTACTAAAATAATTGCACTTCCATGTTCTGTGTACTGTGGGAGACCAGATAGAGTGAATGCAGGGCCCGGGGAGACCAGATAGAGAGTGAGTGATGCAGGGGGTCCGGGGAGACCAGATAGAGTGAATGCAGGGCTCAGGGGACACCAGATAGAGTGAATGCAGGGCCCGGGGACCCGATAGAGAATGCAGGGTCCGGGGAGACCAGATATAGTGAATGCGGGGTCCCAGGGGAGACCAGATATAGTGAATGCAGGGCCCTGGAAGACCAGATATAGTGAATGCAGGACCCGGGGAGACCAGATAGAATGAATGCAGGGTCCGGGGTTTAGTAACACGTTAAGTGAATTTGAGCGTGGCATGGTTGTTGGTGCCAGACGGGCTGCTCTGAGCATTTCAAAAACTGCTGATCTACTGGGATTTTCACGCACAATCATCTTTAGGGTTTACAGAGAATGGTCTGAAAAAGAGAAAATATCCAGTAAGTGGCAGTTGTGTGGACAAAAATGCCTTGTTGATGTCAGAGGAGAATGGGCAGACTGGTTGCTGCGACATTCAGATTGTAGGGTCAGAATTTGGCGTAAACAACATTAAAGCATGGATCCATCCTGCCTTGTATCAACGGTTCAGGCTGGCGGTGGTAGTGTGGGGGATATTTTATTGGCACTAACAAGGTGGACATAATAAAGTGGCCAGTGAGTGTATATATCACTTCTAGATATGGAGGATTACAGTGCCCATGGTTACTAAGGAGGTAGTGGGTGTGCTGGCAACCACTAAATCTCTAGCAACCGCCGCCATCACCTGCACATTGGCTTAGATTGTCAGGAATCCTGAACATATGAGCAATGGTGGAGGATAGCAGTGCCATCAATATGGCCATGGCCATATCTCATCAATAATGTCACTACTATCCTCGCATCTTCCCTTATATAGCTGATGACAGCTCGGGAAGCTGTAATTCAGAAAGCAGTGCCATTGAGAACTGGCTGTGTGCACCAGGTCCATCAGGTAGCTGAGACATTCTTTTAAGATTTTCATTGCTTTAATAAAGGCTTGTCAAACGTTTGGGTGTCCTCATTTTTAAGCTGCATCAGTCTTGGTTGCATTTGGTTTGTTGGCTATCCTACCCTGGCTATATACAGTACACCAGGGGACTTTAGGAAAGGAGTGTCGGAACACATCCCTCCCCCGCCATTTCAAAGTTGACGCTTGTATGGAATGAATACATTAACATGGTCCCTCTAAAATTAGCTGGGGCATTCTTTATCCTCTGTGTTCCCTCCCTCTCTTCACTGTTCCCTGATGCAGGCTGTCACCCGCATACCATATGGAAGATTTACCGGCATCTTTTTGAACATCCTTCTCTTGAGGAAGCACATCTGTGAAACATGTTGAGAAACCATAACCCCTCAGCTGTCTTCAACTGTTCTTTCCATCTTACATGTCATACAACAAAATGGATTGGTATACATACATATAGTGGACTGTGTTCGTGTGGTCCTTTCTGGAAAAGATAAATGGAACTTATATCCCTGCATAAAAATATGGGGCACTAATTCATCCACTGACACCAATGATGGGGCACTACTCCATCCACTGACATCAATGATAAGGCACTATTCCTCCCACTGACACCAATTATGGGGCACTATTCCTCCCACTGATACCAATTATGGGCACTATTCCTCCCACTGACACTCCTATTCCTCCCACTGACACCAATTATGGGGCACTATTCCTCCCACTGACACCAATTATGGGGCAATTCCTCCCACTGGGCACCAATTATGGGGCACTATTCCTCCCACTGATACCAATGATGGGGCACTATTCCTCCCACTGACACCAATTATGGGGCACTATTCTTCCCACTGATATACAGTAAATAATGGAACACTATTCCTCTCACTAACTCCACCGATGAGGCACTATTCTTCCCACTGATCTAAATGCTGAAATACTATTCTCCTTACTGATACCACAGATAAGGCACTATTCCTCCCATGGACACCAAGGATGGGACAGTATTCCCCCCTCTGACACCTATAATGGGGCACTGTTCCTTCCACTAACATGAATGATAGGGCACTATTTGTCCAACTGACACACTGACTCCAACAATGGGTACTATTCTACACACTGATATAAACGATAGAACACTATTTCTCCCACTGACACCAATGACAAGGCACTTTCCTTCCACTAACACCAACAGGGAGGCATAATTTGTCTCACTGATACTAACGAAGGGGCACTATTCCTGCCACTGAGACCAATGATGGGGCACTATTCCTCCCACTGATACTAACGAAGGGGCACTATTCCTCCCACTGATACCAATGATGGGGCACTATTCCTCCCACTGATACCAATGATGGGGCACTATTCCTCCCACTGATACCAATGATGGGGCACTATTCCTCCCACTGATACTAATGATTGGGCACTATTCCTCCCACTGATACCAATGATGGGGCACTATTCCTCCTATTGACCCCAATGATGGGGCACTGTTCCTCCCACTGATACTAACGAAGGGGCACTATTCCTCCCACTGATACCAATGATGGGGCACTATTCCTCCCATTCCTCCCCCACTGATACCAATGATGGGACACTATTCCTCCCACTGATACCAATGATGGGACACTATTCCTCCCACTGATACCAATGATGGGGCACTATTCCTCCCACTGATACCAATGATGGGGCACTATTCCTCCCACTGATACCAATGATGGGGCACTATTCCTCCCACTGATACCAATGATGGGGCACTATTCCTCCCACTGATACCAATGGGGGCACTATTCCTCCCACTGATACCAATGATGGGGCACTATTCCTCCCACTGATACCAATAATGAGGGGCACTATTCCTCCCACTGACCAATAATGAAACTGAAATAAATGATGGGCCACTATTCCTTCCATTGATATAAATGCTGAAACACTATCTCTTTCACTGACACCAAAGATAGGACATAATTATTAATATTTATTATACAGGATTTATATAGCGCCAACAGTTTGCACAGCGCATTACAAAATGATGGTAGACATTACAGTTAATACAATTTGGTACAAGAGGAAACATTAGAGCTTACAATCTAGGACATTATTCCTCCCACTGACACCAGTAATAGGGCACAATTCCTTCCCCTAATACTAATGATGGAGCACTATTCTTTCCACTGATGCCAACAATGGGGCACTATTCCTTCCACTGAAATAAATGATGGGATGCTTTTCCTCTCACTGACACTAAAGATAGGGCTTTATTCCTCCCACTGACACCAACATTGGGGCTCTATTCCTCCCACTGACACCAAAGATGGGGCACTATTACATCCACTGAAATCAACAGTGGGGCACTATTCCTCCTCTCCCCAATGATGGTGAAATATTCCTTCTAATGACACCAATGATGGGACACTATTCCTCCCAATTACACCAATGATGGGGCACTATTCCTCCCACTGACATCAATGATGGGACACTATTCCTCCCACTGACACCAATGATGGGACACTATTCCTCCCACTGACACCAATGATGGGACACTATTCCTCCCACTGACACCAATGATGGGACACTATTCCTCCCACTGACACCAATGATGGGACACTATTCCTCCCACTGACACCAATGATGGGGCACTATTCCTCCCACTGATACCAATGATGAGGCACTATTCCTCCCACTGATACCAATGATGGGGCACTATTCCTCCCACTGATACAATGATGGGGCACTATTCCTCTCACTGATACCAATGATGGGGCACTATTCCTCCCACTGATACCAATGATGGGGCACTATTCCTCCCACTGATACCAATGATGGGGCACTATTCCTCCCACTGACACCAATGATGGGGCACTATTCCTCCCACTGATACCAGTGATGGGGCACTATTCCTCTCACTGATACCAATGATGGGGCACTATTCCTCCCACTGATACCAATGATGGGGCACTATTCCTCCCACTGATATCAATGATGAGACATTATTCCTCTCACTGATACCAATGATGGGACACTATTCCTCCCACTGATACCAATGATGGGGCACTATTCCTTTCACTGATACCAATGATGGGGCACTATTCCTCCCACTGACACCAATGATGGGGCACTATTCCTTTCACTGATACCAATGATGGGGCACTATTCCTCCCACTGACACCAATGATGGGGCACTATTCCTCCCACTGACACCAGTTATGGGGCACTATTCCTCCCACTGATACCAATGATGGGGCACTATTCCTCCCACTGATACCATTGATGGGGCACTATTCCTCCCACTGATACCAATGATGGGGCACTATTCCTTTCACTGATACCAATGATGGGGCACTATTCCTCCCACTGATACCAATGATAGGGCACTATTCCTTCCACTGATACCAATGATGGGGCACTATTCCTCCCGCTGATACCAATGATGGGGCACTATTCCTCCCGCTGATACCAATGATGGGGCACTATTCCTCCCGCTGATACCAATGATGGGGCACTATTCCTCCCACTGACACCAATGATGGGGCACTATTCCTCCCACTGATACCAATGATGGGGCACTATCCCTTTCACTGATACCAATGATGGGACACTATTCCTCCCACTGACACCAATGGTGGGACACTATTCCTCCCACTGACACCAATGATGGGACACTATTCCTCCCACTGACACCAATGATGGGACACTATTCCTCCCACTGACACCAATGATGGGGCACTATTCCTCCCACTGATACCAATGATGAGGCACTATTCCTCCCACTGATACCAATGATGGGGCACTATTCCTCTCACTGATACCAATGATGGGGCACTATTCCTCCCACTGATACCAATGATGGGGCACTATTCCTCCCACTGATACCAATGATGGGGCACTATTCCTCCCACTGACACCAATGATGGGGCACTATTCCTCCCACTGATACCAATGATGGGGCACTATTCCTCTCACTGATACCAATGATGGGGCACTATTCCTCCCACTGATACCAATTATGGGGCACTATTCCTCCCACTGATACCAAT